AATATTAAAACCTCGGTCCGGTTGGGAGCGTTTGTTTTCGAAAACACGGCGAATTTTGAGAGTTGTTGTAGGCTCGAAGAGTGGACAGAATATTTGTGTTTGTGTAATGTCGATGTTTTAGATATTCCAAATGCATTATGAATTTTTAAGAGAACGAAATATTTTTAATGTATTTTCCATTTAATATTAGATATCGGATCCGATACGATATCGAAATGATATCGATATTTTCAGAGACCGATATCGATATTATCGATAAATACGACCTCGTCACAGCACTACTTGTGATTTTTTTTTTCTCTGATTTCGGACAAGTTTGGCACTTGATATATACACTGAATAAATTCTCCGTCTTTATTCGGACTTAGCATAGTTTTGAAAACAAATTTTAATCGGAATAATGTATACATATTCATTAATCGTAGAATGCTTAAAATTTAATCTTGTTTCGTTTTGTAATAATTTTTAGTGTAGATTCAATGTGTTTTTATGTTACTTCATACGCGAAGTTTGCGATTTTCAGAGTTGGTTGGAAATGCTATCTAACATGAAGCTTTAGTGTGATAATTTATTAGCTAGAGAATGGTCTTAGAAGAAGGCAGGTAGATAGTTCCGTTAGAGTACGGCAAAAGTGTGCGTTTGACTTGCACTGTCGCATTAATGGCCCTTCGCTCATTTTCAACTTCTATTAAATTTTCATACTGCCCATAATTTGACAAATGCGTTCTTTTGAAGATGGTGTACGTAAATATTAACTATAGGTCCCTTGGATTAACGCGAGGATTAACGTTTCGGGAATTAACCACTTGATTCGAGCACTTAAAATGACGTTTAGTACCACTCGAACTTTGAAATAAAACATTATTTTGAGATTTTTTCTTCTAGAACCTCGAGAAAAGTAGCCGAAATTTGTGCGTTTCATAAAAAAATAGAAATTAGTTGGTCCAGTTTTGTGAAATCGCTGGTACACGGATACGAATTTTGTTCATTTAAAACAAAAATATAAATGTTTATTGTCTAAACATATGAATTATTCAATGTAAATTGAAAGCATGTTTAAAACTAAAATATTTATGCTTGAATTAAATTAAAAAGCATGTTTATTTCAACAATATAGGATTTGGGTAAACTGTTTTTAGCGTGTCATGCCTTTTTATTTCCTTCTTGTTACATTCAGAAAAAAGTTGTCCCAGCTTTGCTCTACCTCAACAGAAAACGATTATCCATTCCGAATCCATTCCGGATCCTCCTCCGGCACCGAACATAGAAAGAAACCGGTATGAGGACCAGTGGCAGAAACCGAGGCAGAAAAGGCAAAACGACGCCAATAACACAAATTTGCACCAGTTCCACTGAACTCGAACCCCCGGACACCCACCCCGACGGGTCCTAGCATCCCGGACCAGGACCCCAATACCCACAGGTCACCCTTAATCGCACCCGAAAAAAGAGCATTAATTAAGATGCCCTGCCCGAAGATCTTTGTTTTTTCATTTCTTTGCAAACCGTTTTATTTTGCTTTACCCTGCACTCAACTACTAAAATAATTCCAAAATATGTATGTTTATTTTAAACATGAGAAGCATATTTAAAATAAACATATTTATTATTGTTCACATAGCTGTCAAACCAAACAAAAATAAATATGTTTATTTTCAACACGAATATTTTTGAAATAAACGTAACATTATTTTTATTTTAAACTTTGATTTCACATGACTTCAAACATAAAATACGTTTGAAATCAACCTAATTTATGTTTGTGGTCAGAACAAACTGAATTTACGTTTAAATTTACCTCAAATATTTTTGTTACGACGATAGTTTTTTCTGCGTGTAGAAAGTCACGCCAAAACTGCTTGACAAAGAGGTCAATTCTCGCGTCACTTTTCAAATAGACCAATGTAACAAATGTAAACAAATCGAGTTAAGCGATACAAACTATTGCTCTTCTATCATTGTATGTGATACAAAAACATCCATCCAAATTTACTTTTATTTATTTAAGAAAATCATTGATCAAAAATTGTCCAATGTACAGTTTGAAATGATGGGTATATGATTGTTACTTCGGTCATTCGGACTGCCTAACATGATTGGTGCTCATTTTCCAAAGGCGGGGCCAATCTAAAGTTAGGTACTATTCTTTGAAATCTGTGAAAGGGAATCTAATATCATGTAGACAAAACGTCCAATGTAACACTCATTGATTATGTCATTGAGAAAAATCGTCCAATGTAACATGTCCGATGTACAACTCGACTTGTCAAAACGTCCTATGTGGTTTTTTCTATGTTGTAGCATGAAATTCAAAGTAAAATTGTGATTTTACCGTTTCTTCTGAATTTTCAACGGTTTTATACACTGACTACATTAAAAATAGTATTGCAAAATGTATTGTTTTTAAACAGTTTAAATAATAATCTGTCGAACTTCAACTTCGATTTTCTCAAAATGGTGGATATGTTACATTGGTCTATTTGAAAAGTGACGCGAGAATTCAGATACACGGTAACCAGCATAAACACATTAATGTGTAAAATTTCACGCATTTCGTGAAAAAAGGGGCCTACTCATAAAATGTGTAAACTGCGTTTACACATTTATGTGTAAACCCAGCAAACGTCAAAAGAAGTGTATTTTTTAAACATTTTTCAAGAATGGTTTTTACAGCAAAATGTGTAAAAAGTAATCATTTTTAGATCTTAAATATAATGGGTGGCATTGTTTTTTATCAACTTCAGAATATTCTTATTTGTGTCAATGGTAAAATAAAGATTGCTCGATTATTGTATATATTTTATGAAAAAAAGAAATGCCATCAACAAAAATAAGTAGCGGCACCGGAGGTGTAGTGGTAAGCGTGATTTCTTCATGATTTCCTCTCAATCCCAGTCGACGCTGCCGGGATGTTCTGAGGCACAACATCTCTGATCGCGCCGAGGATCACGCCTTCCTTCGGAAGGGAAGTGAAGCCATTGGTCTCCGGTTCATGAGTTGATAGGTCGATAGGTTGGGTCCAGGTATGGGAGCATCCTCCCTGGCGTCGGTAGCATTGGTACTCAGTATATGAAGTATATAAACTAAACTAAAATTAAAAGCTATGAAAAAAGTATAAATCACCTACCCTCTAGCATGTCCATCGTTGCGCACTGTCCAGTTTGGACCGTAGTTACTCCATTTTCCTGCTGTTCGTTCACTGAAAATTAAGCAAATGGCGTGCGTCAACAAAGCAGGATGCAGAAAAGTTTGAAGTTTTTTTTACCCATTAATGAGTTTAAAAATACACATTTTTTGAGTGGTACTACATTCTCAAAATGTGTATTTTTTTACACATTTTAGGATCTCCAAATTTACACATTTTTTGACAGCTGCATTCAAATATAAAAAATGTGTATTTTTTTACTCATTTATGTGTTTACGCTGGTTACCGTGTAGAAAAGTTCGAGTTCATGACCGTTTACTGTACTTTTTAGATCACTTCGATCACGGAATACCTTCTCTTCCGACTACAACTCCAAAACTGACAGATCTGATATGTGCACGCTCGTTCGAGATTCTCAAAAATGAATTCGTGTTACTCATTTTCATCTATTTTCCGAGCTATTTTCATGACTTCAATTTAATATCACACAATCGATGGAATGACCTTTTTGCAGCAATTTGGATGTAATATTCAACAACTTTTTATGCAGTGTAGATGGACAAGCAGATTGCACTGACCGGAAAAACCGATCAACTATATCAGCGAAGAACCAGAGCGTGACACAATAGGCCTTTTTAATAGAAACTAAACGATCGATTCAACCTCTGGTGGTGAATAGGAGAACGTCAAAAAGAGGGTTGTGAGCATACATTTTTGCCTTGAGACATAGGAAGTGGAACATTTTTTTCATTTAACATTTCATGATAAATTGATTCATCTGAGATTCTGCAAAACTTAATCTACAGTTAAAAAATTTAATTCTGTAACGTTTTTGAAAATATCCTGCTGGTGTTCAGGAATATTTTTGTTGAGAAAAATGGAAAATTAGAAAAGTGCTTTAGTGGTTATGATCTTCCGGATTTCTTGTGTGTGAATAGTTAAGGTGCAAATCAGTTCAGATTTGTGGAAAATCGTACAATAAGACCATTAGATTTTGAATGAAAAATGCTGTTATTTGCGTTGGGGAAAATACTTATTCTGATGTAAACAAACGGTTGGTTGACGTTTCTTCTCGAACTCGCGTGGCGCACTCTACGTTGGTGGTGCATTAAAAAGGCGTATTAGAGCAAATCGAAAGCAAATGAAGGTTGGTTGCTTGGAGTGATGATGGAAATTACCGATTTAACTTGTACCGGGATTTTTCAAGCGGTTCTCTAGGCAGTTCTTCCGAAACTGCATAGTATCCTCCTGTTGTATTATCTCTTAAATATTATAACCAATAAAATTGCTTGCTTTCTGCTTCTACCTGTTAGTTGCAACTAAAACTGAACTGTTCCAAAAATGCAAAAAGTGTGATAAAAGTGCTTTGTTGTCTTCAGAGCACTTATTTCTTGCTTCATAAGGAGTAAGTACACCAAAGACAACAAATCGATTTGATATAAACGTACACTTTTATCACACTTTTTAATATGTGAAAACGTGCTTATTTGTCCACTGTGGTGAGAAATGCGCAATATTATTATTATAATAAGACAAAGAAAAATTTAGAAAGCATAAATTTGTACCACTCTCTGAAATTCATACTCATTTCACTAAATGTGTGAATTTATAGAAATGAGTTGAAACAACTGTAAAATAAATATCTGCTCATGGCTGAGCATGTTTTTTTTCGAGCTACTCAATTAAGAGTGATTTTCACTCATTTTCGAGGGACCTCGAGCGAGCGTGTGCCACATGTAGTTAGATCACTTTCACACTCTGACGTTTTAGCCCAGCCAGTTTTGGGGATTGAGGGGGGTCGCGAAAGATTGCGTGTTTTGCTGGTTGACAGTAGGCGTCCCCATCGCAGTGATTGTAATCGCTCGGCGCTCGTTCACCGTCAGCTCGGTTTTCGCTTCAATCGTCGAGTTCGAACGTCTGCAGCAGCAGTTCCTCTTTCTATCTATTGGTGTGCGGTGTTGGATTGCGTGTTCTGTGTCAACTTTTGACCGTGTTGTGGATATTCTCAATTAGTTTTGGCTGCCTTCGTCATCGCCGGGGAGTGTAGAAGTCCGAGCCCCATCCATATGGAAACGGAAGCAGCAGCAGCAGCAGGACAATAATTTGCTAGTAGATTCGGCGTAGCGTGAAAAGACCGAACGAAAAAAAAAAAAAATCCATTTTCATCGTCATTGCTTTGCGTTCCTCCCCGTCCCGTTCGATTGTCATTCGGTGGAGCTCACTGCTAGTGTGCGCGAGTTTTATTCCTTTTTGCAGTGAGTCAAGAGTGTTGTAGGGCAAAAAAAAAACGCGACTTTGCAATCGTGCTTCGGGAAGAAAAGTTTGCTTAGTCAAGATTTGTGTGGGAAAAAGATCGAGAATCAGGTGAAAAATTATTGGAAGGAAGAATTATAAATCCAGCTTTTGTGTTGCTCGAGTTTAAAGAGTGAGTGCGGGCGAAGCAAAAGGCAATAATCACAACAACAACAACAATCAGCCATTCCCCCCTTTTCGCGTTTGTCATCACCGTCAACGTTCGGCCAATCAATCAGACGAGTGCAGAATGAATTTTGGGCATAGTAGCAGCAGCAGCAGTCGTTAAACCGTTCACTGAAGGTAAGTGTTAATGGGATTTTAATTGTACTCTAAATTTCATTTACTACGGAAGATGTCTCGGAGGTCACAGACCGTCACCTCAGGAAAGAGTAGTTCCTGAGGGGAGGGAGCAAAAGGCGGGACTGTCATCGGATGATGGGGGGCCAATCTCGACGAGGCCAAAGAGTGGTGTGAGTAAAAGTCAACATACACTCAATCAGATCATGCAGATTGAAGAGTATGTACATAGGTATTTGCGCGAACTGGTCAAACCAGCAGTATAGCCTTCACAAGCAAATACTGCGTGGTGAGGTGACTCTGATGGAATGAAGATTGTGCTTTTATGACGGGTTTTGGACTGTTATTTCTCAGGTGCCATTTAATGCCTTAATGCGGAACGGCTGATGAAGTCATAGAGAAAAGCGTGAATAAAATGTTCTGATTTTTGGTTTTCGATGAGAATTAGTAATCATAATCGCTGCTGATGTAGTGGTAAGCGTGACTGCTTTCTCACATCAGAGCTGGGTTCAATCTCTGCCGAGGTCGTTGGGATTTTTATGAGGCGAAACAATCTGGTCACTTCTTTCTATGGTAAGGAAAGTAAAGCCGTTGGGCCAGACTAAAATGAATTTCTAAATTCAATCTACAGTCAACTCTCTATTTCTCGATGTTATAATTTATCTAGATATTACTCCCTATCTCGATGATTTGCGCAATCCGTTCAGAATCCCATACATCAAGTTCTCTAAACCTCGATATTTCGATCGTTCTCTACGTCGATGGTCTCTAGAAAATATTCGGGAACAAATTACTCCCCATGGGATGTAGGTTTTAATATTAGCTACTATCAATAACTCAAATCTGTAAGGCCTGTACTCGAAAAAAATGCACCAGACAAAAGACCAAAAATTTATTTTAAGTCGGATTTTCTTGAAACTTTCAGGGAATGAACTAATACATATGGATTATGTTTCGGCATAATTACTTTATTCAATTTCCTTTCCATCGCTGAAAGCCCGCACCTTTCCCTTAAGACCCCTCATTACATTTTGTGCAATGGTGGAGTCGACCTTTTCGGTTACTTTCATCAATTCTTTCTTCAACTCCAGCTCGTTCTTAAACACCTTGGACGATTTTCGAACTTTGGTCTTCATTATGGCCCAAAATCTTTCCACCAGACGAATCTCTGGTGAATTTGGGGGGGTTGGCGGTTTTTGGTACAAAAAACAACGTTATTGTCTCTGTACCAATCCAACGTCGATCGCGCCTCCGTGGGACCGCAGGAAGGGCAACAGACGCTTCTGGAAGCACTCGGTGCGGTAAATTTCGCTGTTGATGGTACCCATTGTGATGTACGGTTTACTCAGTTTACCGCATTGGCATATGGCCTGCCAGAGCAAGTATTTTTTGGCGAATTTGTCCAATTTCTTCTTCCTTATATCTTCCGGAACATCAAACCGTGATTTGGCAACGTAGAACTCCAGCCCCGGTATCTGCTTTGCGTCTGCCTTGATGTAGGTTTCGTCATCCATAACCACACCCAGCGGTTTCGTTAACCACTCTCGATACAGCTTCCTTGCGAGGGATTTGGCCGCCGTATTTTGTTGATCACGCCGGTTCGGTGCCTTCCGGACCTTGAATACACGAAGCCCAGCTCGTTTCATGGTTTGCTGAACGAACCAGGCGGAACACTTGGCCTTCAGAGCCGCGTCGGGATCGAAAGGTTCGGATTACGCTTGAAATAATCCAACACCTTCCGGGCCTTCACAGGGTTAGCTGTCTTCGATTTTCTTCCACTTCCAGCCCGCCGCTTGGCCGTCTGGGACTCCTTAAACGATTTTACCACCCGAGACACAGTTGTATGGGTGATTCCCAGTTGTCTTCCGATCCATCTCATGGTCGCAGTCGGATTTTCCATGACGGCGCGCAAAATTCTCCGGCGATTTTCTTCTTGTTTCGATGACATGTCAATAACCACTGAACCGATTGTTATGAAATTTTGCACATGTAAACAATTCACTCCAAACTAGTTATACCTAGATTTTCATCAATTTTTACCCACGGATAAATATGTTACACACGGATAAAAATAGTGCATTTTTTTCGAGTACAAGCCTTATCACATATGCATGACGATCTAGAGCGGGATGATCTTGTTGTTATTTTTCATTGAATAATTACTGTATTTCTAGTAGTAATAAAGCTCCTGTTGTCGTCCGGTACCCTCAGATGCAGACTGGTGAAATCGGTGGAAAGAATATTCATCTCTCGGCCGGATATATCGTCATCTAGACCAATCCTATCATCGTGCGACGTAGGACAAATATCGTCGAGCATCTCGTCGGGATGCATAAACAAATCATCCATGTGGACATGCTCATAGTCATCTTCACCATCGACATTATCCACCATCGGAAGGCTGTGCGGCGACGTGCACAGTCTCGTCTGGCTGGAGCAGATATTCGCATCTACGTAGCACTTATACGGATTGGTTTCGTACGGTTCGCAGGGGACGATTTTGGTAAAATTGAACTGTGACGAATAAATTTGCTGCGTGATCCATTCTGTCTCCTGTACATCCTGGATGGTGATTGGAGTTTCTGGGTTCTTGTCCAACAGCGGAAGCAACACGTACTCCAATTCTAGATAGGGCTGGAATTAGGGCGAAACAGCTTTTGTAAACATTGACTTCTCTCGATGATTTCTCGAAAGTCATTGCTCGCCCTGGCAAATCGACATCCCCATCGATTAGGGAAAGACTTCCCCTACTCGATGGATATATTGCTTTATGTAGGCGGGCCTTGAATTCCTAGAAATTATCGAGAGAAGTCATTGTTTACAAAGGCTGTTACGCCCTAATTCCAGCTCTAGAATTATTCGCAGGATTGCAGGATTTCCTTAACGTCCACGAATGGGATCTCGAAGAACATCAATACGTAGTGTCACACTGAGAGCCCACATTTCCAGTCCAGACCGGAGTAGTGGTTGCCTCCCAACACTTCCGGACTGCAGTACTCGGTCGTGCCGTAGAAGGTAGAAAAAAGTAGCCCTTCATGTACGAACGTCGCCGATCCTAAGTCAATCAGCTTGATATGGAAATTGTGATCGATGATAACGTTCTCGTCTTTGATATCCGGGTGCAGGAAAGCAACCGCATAAGCAATCTATCGAAAGATCCAACTGATGTGAAGCAATCCGAAACATGAAGCTGGAATTAAAAGTAGTAGGCTTTGTGATTAATCAATTAGCTATATAAGTTCCTGTGAGATTATACTCTTTCTCTTTTGCCAATAAACCACTGCCTAGACAACACCTTTCAATAGGTTATGGGCCCAGGCGCGCGGTTACCATAGCAACGTGGTTTGTTTGGCGTAGTACGGAACGCAAAAAAAAAATCACGAGCAAAGTGAAATTTCGGGTCGATCGATCGAAGTAAAAGTGTCGGTTACGGTTTTACGGTTCGGAAGACTGGAAGCGGAATGGACGAAGAAATAACGCAACGGGTGTACCTGTTCGACGGAACGAACTTCTCAAATTGGAGCTACAGGATGGAAGCGTACCTGGAAGAATTGGGGTTGGAGCACTGCATCCGGAAGAGCTTGGAAGAAGAAGATTTTTTCGTCGATGCGGCGGTGGACACCGCCGAAGTGAAGGCGCAGAAACACCAATCGCGGGAACGGCGAAAGCAGCAGGACGCGAAGTGCAAGTCCATATTGATCCACAAGATCGCGGATTCGCACCTTGACTTCATAAAAGGAAAAACCACTCCGAAGGAAATTTGGTCCACGCTGGAACGGCTGTTCGAGAAGAAAGGCGTCGCTGGCATATTCTACCTGCTCAAGCAAATGTCAGTGATGCGATATGACGAAAATCGCCCGTTGGAGGAACACATTGTTGCCTTCGAGAAGAATGTTCGAGATTTGGAATCTGCTGGAGTGAAGTTCGACGAAAAGGTGACCGTTTTCAACTTGCTTCAGTCAATGCCGAAATCCTACGGGCAGTTGATTACGGTGCTGGAGACTTTGCCAGTGGAACAATGCTCGTTGGAATTCGTCAAGACGAGGTTGCTGAGCGAAGGTGTGAAACGACAGCTTGGCGAAGTGCAATCTGAATCTGGCACGGCGTTTGCTGGAAAAGGTGGGAAGTTCGTTTTCACGTGCCACGCATGTGGTAAACCCGGACATAAGCGAGCAGATTGTCCAAGTAACAGCCGGAAGCAGGAGCACGGTGCGGGAAAGACGTCGGGGAAGCAGAAAAAAAAAATCCAAGGAGAAGGCTAATGCTGCTGATACACAATACGATGTTGCGTTCGTGGGCACGGACGACAGAAGTAACACCGATGGCGAAGAATTTCGTTGGGTGCTTGATAGCGGAGCCTCCGAGCACATGGTCAAGGATAAGAAGTTTCTGCACAACGTGTATCGTCTCGACCAACCGGTCGTCATCACAGTAGCGAAGTCTGGACAGCAACTGGTGAGTGAATTTGCCGGTGAAGTGAAAATGCTTGCGAAAGTAGGCAAGAAAAAGCTGCGGTGCGTTGTATACGAGGTCCTTTTAGTTCCTAATTTGACCATCAACTTGTCTTCCGTCAAGAAAATTGGGGAACGAGGAATGCGCACCACGTTCACACGGGATGATGCGTACATCACGAAGGCGGATGGTTCGCAGGTTTGTACGGCCACACGAAAGACGAAATTGTTCGAGCTGGATGTCGAACTGATCCATCCACCAACTGAGTCGGCTCTCGCTGCAGATACCAAAAATCGAATGGTTCTGTGGCATCGACGATTCGGCCACATCGGAAGTTCTGGTCTGAGGAAGCTTGTTCGAGACAACATGGTGGACGGCCTGGAAATTGGAAGTAACCTGGAAGAAGACGAGAAAATTTGTGAATCATGCATGAAAGGGAAGCAAGTGCGGTTACCATTTGCGGACACACCGCAAGCAAGATCGAGTCGTCCGTTGGAATTGATACACACGGATGTGTGTGGACCATTCAAGCCGGAAGCTTGGGATGGAGG